ACTGTGGTTGCCTTTTTGGCAAAAAAGATTTATTTGTTTTTGGCAATCGAAAAAAAAAAAATGGAATTTTATAATTAAGTCATATAGTTATTGTCAAAACTAAAGAAGCAAGGTCATGTTGATAAATTGTCTGAGAGGGATCCAATAACAGAGAAAAAACCATAATAGCATTTATAAACAAAAAAAAAGCTGTAAAATATTATTGTTTACTGAAAATACTAGAAAAATAACTTTTTTTCAGTGCCATAAATGTGTTGATTAATTAAGTCAATTTGAAAAATTTATGAACAGTAAAAGAGTGATAGAAAAAACTGCAAACAATTAATCTTTAAACTTTTTTCTAATTTAGTCTAAATGGTTTAGGAATGTTGCTCTTGAAAACAACAAAATGAAACTTTTGGCTTACATAGACAGTCTAAATTAGGTGCAAATTTTTGCCTCAAATGGCAGATTGTATGTTGAGCTGTAATCTTCGTAGGCTACAATCTTAATTGCCTTCTCTAACTCAGGATGTAACTTTCAAATGCTGTAATTTGCTAGACTTAATCAGAAATGTTATAAAAAAACTTAGAGATTTGTGAATATGTAAAAAATAACACTTTGTGATTCCAAAAAACTGGGCTTTTGTAACATCAAAACTTTAAAACGTTTATGACAGCAAAAGAAATTGGAACTGATAAATTTGGTTAATAAAAGTTATGTATTTTAGCTTAGTTTTTGGAAAAATCAGCAATGATTTTTTGCAGCGATATCGACTACTCATCTGTTTCAGTCATTTTTTTTGAGATTATTAAAATTTAAATATTTTTTTCTATAATTTTTAAAACATCTGTCTCTACTGCTTGTTTTGAGTACTACTCTCTTTGTTGCGTACTTTTTTTAGTATTTTAATAAAATTGGATATAATAAACTAAAAAACTTTTTCACTTTTCAACAACTGAGGCAAAAAGCTAAAATTACTTCTTTCAAAAAAAAAAAAAAAAAAAAAGACAAAATTGAAAGTATTTTTGGCTGTAAACAATTAATAAAGATTTTTTAAGAAGTTTCTTAACCAAATATATATAGGCGGTTGTCATATCAATCGGATAAAGTATTTTGACAGAAAAGTGGTAAAAAAAAACAGCCAAGAGAAATTCGGCAAACAAATAAAATTTTACAATTTTGTTTCACTTTTGAAAATTACATTTACAAATATGACGTAACAGTTAAAGAAAGCCAACTTTTAATAATGGCAACCATTTAAGTGCGTGCATTCGCTAAGAAAACTAAGCAAAAGATTTTCGTTCTTTCCTTTTTTCAACAATTTGACGTTCTTCAACAAGCCAAAA